ACACACACACACACACACACACAGAAGGCTGGCTGTTTTTCCTCTTCTGAGGCATTTGGCATACCCTCATAGGCTTTCCCACAACATAGCCTCTAACAAAACTAGGCTGTCCTGAACCCCTGGTAATTGAATTGTTTACCCTTGTACCAATAAGGTTGGGAAAGCATCAAAATCTGCTTGTGGTGTATATCCAGGTAGACTTTGAGAGGCTCGTGCTGTGAGACCTAAAGTTCTTATGAGATTGTCCAAAACAAACATGTCAGCAGGGCCTGTGGTTTTTCTATGTGTGCTAAATGTGTTGGTGACAGGATCAAGTGTGCTTTCCTTATCAAGGAGCAGAAAATCATTGCGGAAATGTTGAAGGCACAAGCACAGAGTCAGAAAGCTAAATGAAAACTGAAGCTTTTTTTGAGTAGTAAAAGTTAAGACTTAAAAAAAATGAGAGAGCTGGAACCCAAATGGAAAGTATCTTCCTAATGCTCTTTCCTTGAATTGTCCTTTCTGTGTGTTCAATTGACAAAACCTAACAATGCGCTAGCTTGGCAAAGAGAAATGTTTGTAGAGTTTAGCTCTAGTGTCAGACAGGAGAGCAGAGGAAGGGTGGATTTGGAACTGATAGACAATAAATTGATAACTGGCACTTAAAGAGTAATGTAGGCCAGGCACAGTGGCTCACGCCTGTCATCCCGGCACTTAGGGAGGCTGAGGTGGGCGTTTCACCTGAGTTCAGGAGTTCCAGACCAGCCTGGCCAACATAGTGAAACTCTGTCTCTACAAAAAATATCAAAATTAGCCAGGCGTGGTAGCAGATCCCTATAATCTCAGCTAGTCAGGAGGTGGAGGCAGGAGAATCTCTTGAACCTGGGAGGCAGAGGTTGCAGTGAGCCAAGATCATACCACTACACTCCAGCCTGAGCAACAGAATGAGATTCTGTCTCAAAAAGAAAAAAAGGAGTAATGTAAAGTAATATAGGAGAATGGCATGACCTTCAAAATTGGAAAGGTTTTTGCATCAAGGTAAAATAAAAGGAAGCAGGAAATAAAGTCAAGTAAGCAAAAATGGGGAGCTAGAAAACAGGCCCCGAGGACTGCAGGGTAATTGGGTATTTAAGAAAATTAGGTGGTTTCATTTAAGCTTGAAGGTGAAGGTTTATAGTAGCCAAGGCTTAAGGGTGGAAAAATTTAAATTTTTAAGTGGTGGTATAGTACTGAGTTTCAGCCCATTCTAACAGTACTTGGCATAAAAGTTTGGTGTGCATGTTTTATGAATTCATACATTATATGAGAATGTTCTTAATGAGCTATGTACTTCTCAGGTAAATGTTGCCCAGTGTTATTAATATGTGACCAACCTCTGAAGAACTTGGTTTTTGATACCAGACTTTTGCAGGAGGAAGAGAAGGGTTATTTTTAGTGTGGAAATTATTTCTAAATGAGGATAAGAAAAAGTAGCTCTAGTTTTAGTGATTTGTTAACTAATTTATGCTTCTACTTCTGATTCTAATATGAAATTAATGGCAATTTGCAAATGAATAATTGTGTCAGACAAAGTGAAAATTAACCAGGCCTTGCCTTTCCCACTTCAAAATAAACTATACAATTGAAAAGCTCTTATTTCTTTTCTTTTTCATTACAAAAGAGTAGAGGGTATCTGTTAGGGCTATCTAAAATATCTGATTTCTGACTTAGTCTCTGGAATTGGTCCTTAAAATTTCACCTACTTATTTTTATTTTGTTTTTTATTTTTAAAGAACCAGCACCGAGCAGTAGATCAAGTAATTAAAGCTGTAAGAAAAATCTGTAGTGCTTTAGATGGTGTTGAGACTCTTGCCATTACAGAATCAGTTAAGAAGCTAAAGAGGGCAGTTAATCTTCCCAGGAATAAAACTACTGATGTGAGTATTTTTGATAACTAGCATTTTATTACGTGCAAATATGTACTTAAACAAGAGGTTTTTGCTTTCTGCTAGACAAAATATTGTCATTTTAACTTTGGCTTTTACTTTTGGGTTGAATCACTTACTTGGTTATGTGGGGATTCCTTGGTAAGAAGTTGGGCTGCCTTGGAAGAGCTTTATGAGCGCTGATATTCAACAGGTGGATGTCAAACTGTGACCCCTTTGTGTATAGAGGAAGACCTCTGGCATAAATGAGTTGGTTTAGGGTTTAAGGCTAGATACTGAACTTGGAGGACCTGAAAGGTAATAGCTATTACTTCTCCCTTGGGGTGGAAGTGTTCTGATTACCAGTAGGGGAAGTTCTACTTTGGGTAATACTCTCCCTATTGAAAAGATCAAGGGCTTCAGCTGTAATGCTTTAGAAGCCGCCAGGTTAGGGGCCTTTCCTTTAGGTTATACTGTTACTTTTAATAAAAGCTGTCCCTCATGGTATTTCCAAGGGGATTTAATTAACTTGCTTCATGGGGATGTTTAAGTCTTTAATTGCAAGGATGAAAGAAGGGGTTGTTCTCACAAGCCACAATAAATATCAAGGATAGAAAAATCATGTTGGTGGTGTGCCCCTTGATATCTAGAAGATACATGCATTCTCAGAGAGATCCTATCCATTTGGTATATAGAGATAGGGTTTCTTTTTTTCTACTTTCTTGTGTGCTTCTTTTTAGAAACTAAAATATATATATATATATGAAATTACTTGGAGGTAATCAACTACCATGGACCTAATTTTGTCTGAGGCTTCTATTTATTTTACCCATTTGTTGGATAAAGGAGCAGACAGTAGATGGGAGGGGAGTCAGTTTAGATAATTATAAGCACTTTTTTGAGTCACCAAATGGTAATAAATAGAGTTCTAGATTTTTATCTTTAAGGATATTCTTATCATGTTGTTTTAGAACAACTAATGGAAAAAAAAATACTGTACTTCTAGATTTCAAATTACTATTGGCAAAGGAGATTTTATTGTGTTTCTGTGATATTTTTCAGTAATTTTTATTCTGATTATCTTAATACTAAAAATAACCTTGATTTGTGGTTTACCCTTTCTTTTTGCATTATTTATTTATTGTTTTATTAATTCTGTAGTTACTTGGGAGGTTTCCCCTGGAAAGAGTTTCTTTGACATAGTATATGACATTTTATGTTATGTCATAGTCAATTTTCTGACTATTGTCTGTGTGCATGTGTAGGTGACTTCTTTGTCTGAAGGAGACGACACTAGCAAGAGTTCAACTAGGGGTATGTGTTTAAATCTTTAAATTTTAGCAATAATCATCGCTTTTTCAGAAAATATATTAACTTTAAAATATATATATATATATATCTAGGCTCACTGAATCCTGAAAATCCTGTTCAAGTAAGCATGGACCAATTAACTGCAGCAATTTATGACCTTCTCAGACTCCATGCAAATTCTGGTAGGAGTCCTACAGACTGTGCCCCAAGTAGCAGGAGTGTCAAGGAAGCATGGGCTACAACAGAACAGCTCCAGTTTACTATTTTTGCTGCTCATGGAATTTCAAGTAATTGGGTATCAAAGTAAGTAACTGTTTAAGCAGCTGGGCATGGTGGCTTGCATCTGTAATCCCAGTGCTTTGTGAGGCCATGGTGGGAGGATTGCTCGAGCCCAGGAGTTGGAGACCAGCCTGGGCAACCTCATCTCTACTAAAAATAATTTTTAAAAAATTAGTTGGCCAGGCACAGTGGCTTACACCTGTAATCCCGGCACTTTAGGAGACCAAGGCGGGCAGATCACCTGAGGTCAGGAGTTTGAGACCAGCCTGACCAACATGGAGAAACCCCATCTCTACTAAAAATACAAAATTATCCGGGCCTGGTGGCCCCTGCCTGTAATTCCAGCTACTTGGGAGGCTGAGGCAGGAGAATTGCTTGAACCTGGGAGGTGGAGGTTGCTGTGAGCCAAGATGGCACTGTTGCACTCCAGCCTGGGCATCAAGAGTGAAACTCCATCTCAAAAAAACAAACAAAAATTAGCCAGTGGTTGTATGCCCCTGTAGTCCCAGCTACTCAGATGGCTGAGGTGGGAGGGTTGCTCAAGCCAGGAGATCAAGACTGCAGTGAGCTATGATCATGCCACTGCACTTCAGCCCGGGTGACAGAGCAAGACCCTGTCTCAAAAAAAGAAAAATAGCGTAAAAGAAAATATGTGCATCCCCTTTGCTGACGTTCCTGGTTTTAAAAAAAGAGAAAAGAAAAGAAAATATATGCAGCTTTATCTAGAAACTATTCTGTCTTGTAAAATGTCAGCGACCACTGTTATCTTAATGTTTAAATGACTGATTAAAAAAAAAGCAGCAGATACCTTTGTGGTTGTCATAAAAATTACAGAGGTGTTTGAAACTCTTCTAGTAAAAAAAAGTATCACTCTTACATGCAAAAAAAGCAGGAAAATACAGCAGAAAAACAGAGAAAATGTCAGTTAATAAATTAGGCAATTTAAGACTGCTGTTTATTTGTTCTTTTTTTTGAGACAGAGTCTTGTGTTATTGCTCAGGATAGAGTGCAGTGGCGCGATCTCAGCTCACTGCAACCTCTACTTCCAGGGTTCAAGTGATTCTCGTGCCTCAGCTCCCCCCTCCGGTAGCTGGGATTACAGACACGCACCACCATGCCCGGCTGTTTTGAATTTTTAGTAGAGACAAGATTTCACCTTGTTGGCCAGGCTGGTCTCAAACTCCTGACATCAAGTGATCTGCCCACCTTGGCCTCACAAAGTGCTGGGATTATAGTGAAATCGTTTTATAATAGCTTAATGCTATTTTTAAAAGTCTAGTGAAGAAATATCAAACATAAGTTATGCTTAAATTGGGCTTTAGATTAAAATATAATAATTTAGTGACTTGAAAGTGGTGTTTTAATTTATTCAGTTAGTATTTATTGAACACCATCATGGGCATTGTTCTTAGTACTGGGGATTCAGTAGTACAAGGTAGCAAAAAACCTGTACCCTCCTGGAAGTCGCATTTAAATGGATACTCTACTGGTGGTATCAGAAGTTATTTCATTACAGGGATAAAAATCTCCACATTTTCCATAGGCACATACACACACATGTTTGTATGTAGACACACACAGATATATGTAGGGACACTAATGAGGTGAACAACTACCCAGTTGAAGACAATACAGAAAGCAGTGATAAAGATGGAGAGTAAAGGCTGCTTAATATCTCAGTTACAATGGGGCAGAAGAAAAAATAAATAAATAAAAAGAAAAAAGACGGAGAGTAAATTAATAAAATGCTGAATAGGGGAAAATGGAATAAAGCTGAGAAAAATAACCAAATAGTCAGCTTGGGTATTATGTGAACCAATGCAATTTGATTTGAAATAAATTCAGGATGATAAATAAATTGTATATATAAACAAAGTGGTTAACATGTAAGGCTAGTGGTAAGTTAGATTAAGTAGAATACAACTTTTTTTAATCTAAGACTACTACTTTACAAGATTACATGACTGTATCCAACCAGCTGTGTACTTGGCAATTAGTGGCTGAGTCACTGCAGTCTAATGAAAGAATACAATATCATCTGTCCCCATAAACTGAAGACTCCTGATAGACTAGGAAGATCGGCTCTGTGCGAGTCAGGCACATATACTATTAATATGCTTAGCTGACTCTATTTCAGTAGTTTAACAAAGAACCCAAAAATGAGTGAATACATTATTCAGTGTCATTAAACTAAAATCTGAAGCTAGTAACTAACTGAGCACAAAACTGAAGTAAATTATCCAGCTGGTGTTATGACCATGCTTTAAACTGGGACCTAGGAACATACATTTCCCTTTTTATCACCTTTGCCAAACCTCTTTTCTATTTTCATAGAATTTGCAATGGTTAAATTTCAGATGGATTTCTAAAAATTCAAATGAAAGGTGACCAGATTATTCCAGATATTAGTCTCTTTGGAGGAAGAACTGCTACTGTACTTGTATTAGTTAACTAATTTGTATTATCAAGATAGAAATCAAGTTAAACTTTCTTTTCTCAGTTATGAAAAATACTACTTGATATGTTCGCTGTCTCACAATGGAAAGGATCTTTTTAAACCTATTCAGTCAAAGAAAGTTGGCACTTACAAGAATTTCTTCTATCTTATTAAATGGGATGAACTGTAAGTGAAATTTCTGGCTTTTTATTATTTCAGTGTGCCCTGTTCTTTACTTTTTCCAATGTATGCATCCTAGCTTTAATTTTATTACCATTTTCATTGAAATTCATTAAGTTCTTACTTATGTCTTAAGATCTCTTCTAGATATGATTTTATAGAACAGACTGAAATTCTCATTAAAAAATTTGAAATATGCTGGGTGTGGTGGCTCACACCTGTATTCCCAGCACTGGGAGGCTGAGGAGGGTGGATCACCTGAGGCTGGGACTTCAAGACCAACCTGGCCAACATGGAGAAACCCCGTCTCTACTAAAAATACAAAATTAGCCTGTGTGCTGGTGGGTGCCTGTAATCCCAGCTACTTGGGAGGCTGAGGCAGGAGAATTGCTTGAACCCGGGAGGCAGAAATTGCGGTGAGCTGAGATTGTGCCATTGCACTCCAGCCTGGGCAGTAAGAGCGAAACTCTGTCTCAAAAAAACAAATAAAAGACCCTTTTAAGCTGTCATAGTATTAAATTGCAAAAACATACCATTAATTCTTTTTAGACTTTGTCAAGTTAAAGATATACATTTATAGTTACAGAAAGGAATAAAAGTTATAAAAAGATGGTATTTTATAGTATTGCTTACTTTAGTATTTATTCTGTAACACTATATAACAATTCTGGCTCTTCTGTTAATCAACACTTAAACAAAAAGTTATCTTAAATCCATGTACAAGATGATATTTTATACTATTCATATTTTTAAAATAGTGGTTATTTTATTTTATTTTTTTGAGATGGAGTCTCACTCTGTCACCCAGGCTGGAGTGCAGTGGTGTGATCTCAGCCCACCGTAATCTCCACTTCCTGGGTTCAGCCAATTCTCCTGCCTCAGCCTCCCAAGTAACTGAGATTGCAGGCATGCACCACCATGCCTGGCCAATTTTTTTGTAGAGACAGGGTTTCTTCATGTTGGCCAGGCTGGTCTTAAACTCCGGACTTAGGGGTGATACACCGGCCTCGGACTCCCAAAGTGCTGTGATTACAGGTGTGAGCCACCACGCCCTTGGCCTAATGTTTTTAAACTAAGGGAACTTATTATTTAGGCAGATAGGCAGTTGTGGAACTTTTTACTATTTGTTCCACATCTATTAAATGTTTTCCTGTGGTTTTATTATCTTTTATATTATAAAATAATACATATCTGAAAGCAATCAAATAATATAAAAGTTCATATAGCAGAAAGTGTCACTCTATTTTCAACATTTGCTGTTTCACAGTGACTACTGTTGAATTCAAGTGTTCTTTTAGACTTAAAAAAATAATGCATTAGTAAACATGTCTGTTGGTATATATACTTTTTGTTTTGTTTTGTTTTTACATGGGAGGGAAGGGAAGGAGGAAAGGAAGGGGGAAGGAAGGTTGTTTGTGTATATACTTATTATATATGTCTGTTTGTATGCATTCTTACATCCCAAAACAGAAATACTCATAAACATTCATCTAGTTTTTCCAAAGGGAAATAAAAATGACTAATATTATTTTGCCTGAAAATTCACACTACAAATCTCAAAGGCATTTGTAAGTCTTTAAAGAAAGAAATGTCATATTTTGAAATTTTATTCTGTTAATAAAATTTATTTAAAAATTTTAGTAGGACAAGTTAGCCAGACTTACATTTAGCTAAAGGTTACTCAGTATTAAAGATTATTTGAGGCCACGTGTGGTGGCTCACGCCTGTAATCCTAGCTAGCTCTTTGGGAGCCCGAGGCGAGTGAATCACCTGAGGTCAATAGTTCAACACCAGCCTGGCCAATTTGATGAATACCCATCTCTACTAAAAACACAAAAATTAACTGGGCTTGGTGGCAGGTGCCTGTAATCCCAGTTACTCGGGAGGCTGAGGCAGAAGACTCGCTTGAACCCAGGAGGTAGACATTGCAGTGAGCCAAGTTCATGCCATTGTACTCCAGCCTGGGCAACAGAGCAAAAATGCCATCTTAAAAAGAAACCAAATAAAGATTATTTGAAAGGTCAAACAAAATACCTAAAATTGTCAGTCTCATTAAAGTGTTAAATTTCATATTCAATCTAATTTGTTCTATTAATACATTTTTTTCCCCATAGAATCATTTTTCCCATCCAGATATCACAATTGCCATTAGAATCACTTCTTCACCTTACTCTTTTTGGAATTTTAAATCAGAGCAGTGGAAGTTCCCCTGATTCTAATAAGCAGAGAAAGGGGCCAGAAGCCTTGGGCAAAGTTTCTTTACCTCTCTTTGACTTTAAACGGTAAGTATTACTGAATTGTAATGGTGAGTCACTGTGGACACTTCTGCACATCAGCATTGGCTAGGTGACAAGGAGGTGAGGGGAGGAACATAGATGAGTAAATGAGCTGCTTCAATTTTTCTTTTCTTTTTTTTTTTTTTGAGACGGAGTTTTGCTGTTGTTGCCCAGGCTGGAGTGCAATGGCACGATCTCGGCTCACCGCAACCTCCGCCTCCTGGGTTCAGGCAATTCTCCGGCCTCAGCCTCCCGAGTAGCTGGGACTACAGGCATGCACCATCATGCTCAGCTAATTTTTGTATTTTTAGTAGAGACGAGGTTTCACCTTGTTGACCAGGATGGTCTCGATCTCTTGACCTCATGATCCACCCGCCTCGGCCTCCCAAAGTGCTGGGATTACAGGCTTGAGCCACCGCGCCCGGCCTTCAGTTTTTCTAATGTGATAAAAGGAGGTCAGTCCAGAGACACAGATCAGAGGAAATCAAAGTTATTCTGCTATAGTCTGAATATATCTGAATAGGTATGTACAGCTTTGTTTGCCACTCACTGTTCCATGGAGAAAAGCAGCAGCCAATGACTGTTGTTTATATAAAGTGCTATATTATTGACATAATATCACAGTCTTCTAAGTTCCCTTGATAGTAATCAAAGAACTTCATTTTTCCTTTTCCCATTTTGTTCCTACTCTTCTCCAGTTTTGGAGAATCAATAGGTGCTAAGTAGTGCAGGTGACCTAGGTGATGTTAGGATTTCACATTCAAGGAATACTCAGAAATTAAGAGAGATGATGATGAAGAGAGATTATTATTAATGAGACATTATTATATACTAATGTAGAGAAACAAAGTGTATAATATAGTTGAGTTAACATAATGTGTTATGATTAGTAATCCTAGTTTTGAAATTCTTCATGAAATAATTTCTGTTAAAGGTGCAATCTTCATATAACCTAATGGTCACTGTTATTGAAGCCAAATGACTCAAAGCCATTTCAGTCAGCCTTAATAACAAATGAGGTATTTAACAAAAAATTATTATTTTTTTTTATAGAGATGGGGTCTCACTATTTTGCCCAGGCTAGTCTCAAACTCCTGGCCTCAACTGATCCATCTTCCCGCCTTCCAATCCCAGATTATAGGCGTGACCTACCATGTCAAGCACAAATGGGTTCTTAACTCATTAGTCTGAAAACTGGTACATAAACATAATTAAGCAGTTAACCTGTCTTTCCTTTACAGTTATTTCTGAATGTTAGCAAATAATTTTTTATTTTTGTTTTTTGAGACAGAGTCTCACTCTGTCACCTGGGCTGGAGTACAGTATCATGATCTTGGCTCACTGCAACCTCCGCCTCGTAGGATCAAATGATTCTCAAGCCTTAGCCTCCAGAGTAGCTGAGATTACAAATGTGTGCCACCATGTCTGGCTAATTTTTGTGTTTTTGGTAGAGACATCATTTCACCATGTTGGCCAGGTTGGTTTGAAATTCTGGCCTCAAGTGATCTACCTGCCTTCGCCTCCCAAATGCTGGGCTTACAGGCGTGAGCCACCATGCCTGACAGTAATTGATATGACAGAGTTTTTTACAGAAAATCTTCAGCTAGCCAGGCACAGTGGCTCACACCTCTAATCCTAGAACTTTGAGAGACTGAGGCAGGAGTTTGAGACAACTCTGGCCAATATGGTGAAACCCTGTTTCTACTAAAACTACAAAAAAATTAGCCTGGTGTGGTAGCTCATGCATGTAGTCCCAGCTACTTGGGAGGCTGAGGCAGGAGATTCACTTGAACCCAGGAGGCGGAGATTGCAGTCAGCCGAGATTGCACCACCGTACTCCAGCCTGGGCGACAGAGCAGGACTCCGTCTCAGAAAAAAAAAAAAGAAAATCTATAGCTATTAGATGCAGAAGGAATGATAGAATTAGGATATTATAATTTTGCAGCCATGCTGAAATCATAGATTTTGGCCAGGGTTTCTCAATCTTGGCAGTATTGACATTTCAGGCCAAATTAGTTTTTTTTGTAGGAGATTGTTTTGTGCATTGTAGGATGTTTAGTGGCATCTCTGGCTTATACCCACTAGATGCCAGTAGTACCACCTCAGTTTACAACCAAAATTGTTTGCAAATTACCAAATGTCTGCTGGGAGGAAAATCACTTCCAATTGAGAACCATTGATCTAAGCAGTGATCATGAGTGCCTTCTGTTTTTTTGTTTTATACCCTTACAGTCTGTGAAGTTGCCTTCTTAAAACCATTAGTTTTTCTGCAACTTCATAATTGATGGCTTAAACTGATTGCACTTGAACTAAACTGAGCTATAGTAACATCACAGAGAGAGAGATAACCCGAACAATGTATATCTTTTTATTTGCTACAATAAGTAGTAGTATACAGGCCAGGCACGGTGGCTCACGCCTGTAATCCCAGCACTTTGGGAGGCCGAGGTAGGTGGATCACGAGGTCAGGAGTTCAAGACCAGACTGGCCGACATGATGAAACCCCGGCTCTACTAAAAAATACAAAAATTAGCTGGGCGTGGTGGATCGTGCCTGTAATCCCAGCTACTTGGGGGGCCGAGGTAGGAGAATTGCTTGAACCGGGACCCGGGAGGCGGAGGTTGCAGTGAGCCGAGATCACACCACTGCACTCCAGCCTGGGCTACAGAGCGAGAGACTCCATCTCAAAAAAAAAGAAGTAGTATACAATACCAACTCCAAAATAGTAAGTATTCTTGCAAAAGAACTAGAACTGAATCAAATCAGGCTCCTAGGTCTAACTTCTCTATGGAAAATGCAGGAGGACATGTTAAATGACACTAGAACAGTATAACCAGCAAAATTTAGGATATGGAAAATTCTGCAGAACAAAAGGCCTGGTATCATCAACAAATAAATAGGAAGCGGAGAAAAAAGAGAAGGAGACTAAACAAGAGTTAACACACTTTTTCTTTAAAGGGTTCCAGATAGAAGTAGTTTAGGCTTTGCAGACCATATAGACTCTATCACAAATGCAAAGAGCTATAGACGGTACATAAACAAATCAGCATGGCTTTGTCTGGTAAAAGTTTACTTATGAAGCCAGGTGTAAAGGCCTGTTTATTTACACTTAGCTTTTAAATAAGCTTTGTAAAGGCAGGTTGGAGTTTGCTGACCCTGAATTAAAAGATGGTTAAAAAGACATCCAAATTTATCGCACCACTGCACTCCAGCCTGGGCGACAGAGCAAGACTCCATCTCAAAAAAAAAAAAAAGGAAAAAAAGACATCTAAATGCAAGTGTTAGACCTTGCTTGGATCTTTTTTTAAGCAAACCAACTGTTAAAAAACAAATCATTTATGGGACAATCAGGGAAATTTACATAGTGACTAGATATTTTATGATCTTAAGTAATTACAGTTATTTTAGGAGGAATAATGGTATTGTACTTATTACAGGAAACTTTATTTTTTAGAGATATATAATAGTATTTATAGATGAAATAATATGATCAGGATTTGTCTTAAGTCTAGTTGGAGGTAAGGGTGATTCTGAGCCACGTGGTATGGTGGCTCACACCTGTAATTCCAGTGACTCGGGAGGTAGGAGGATTGTTTGAGCTCAGGAGTTCAAGGCTGCAGTGAGCTATGATCACACCACTGCATTCCAAGCTGGGCAACAGAGGGAGACCCTGTCCCTAAAAAATATAAATAAATAAATGATGGATTATAACTTATCAAAGATTCAAAGCCTGTTTATCTGTCAAGAGAAAAATCTTAAAACCGGAGTCTGATTTTGGTAAAGATATTTTGCTGTTTGGGGCCAGGTGCGGTGGCTTAGGCCTGTAATCCCAGCACTAGGAAGCTGAGGTGGGCTGATCACGAACGAGGTCAGGAGTTCAAGACCAGCCTGGCCAACATGGTGAAACCCCATTTCTACTAAAAATACAAAAATTAACCAGGCGTAGTGGTGCATGCCTATAATCCTAGCTACTCAGGAGGCTGAAGCAGGTGAATTGCTTGAACCTGGGAGACAGAGGTTGCAGCGAGTTGAGAGATTGTGCCACTGTACTCCAGCCTGGGCGACAGAGTGAGACTCTGTCTCAGAAACAACAACAAAAAAGATATTTGCTGTTTGAATAAAATGAACAAAGATTTGACAAAGTTTATAGTTTTCTGCTTTTATATATATTATTTTTCAGAAATTTCTTAAGTGTAAAGATATGTCAATATCTTTGAAAGAATGTTTTGATTGAGTAGGCCATAAATTAGTAGTCTAGGGCAAGAGTCAGCATACTTGAGCCCATTGCTTGTTTTTATAAATACAAGTACAGTTTGTTAGAGCATAGCATGCATATTCATTTATGTGTTGTTCATGGCTAATTTGCATTACAACAGCAGAATTGAGTCTTGACTATATGGTCAAGAGACTATATGGTCCACAAAGCCCAAAATATTTACTGTCTGACTGTGTATAGAAAAAATTGGCTGACTCCTAGTCTAGGAAGCAGATGAAACTTCTCATCTATAACAGCAGAATTGGAGTCTTGCAGCAGAGACTGTATGGTCCACAAAGCTCAAAATGTATGCTCTCTGGCTCTGCATAGAGAAAGTTGGCTGACTCCTAATCTAGGAAACAGATAAAACTTTTCATCTCTGGCTGGGCATGGCAGCCCATACCTTTAATTTCAACGTTTTGCGGGGCTGAGCAGGTGGATCACTTGAGCCTCAGGAGTTCTAGACCAGCTTGGGCAACATGGCAAAACCC